AAGTAGGGATCGACCGATTATCAGTTTTACCGATATATTCGGTATTATCGGCAATATCGGTATCGGCCAATAGAGATACCGATATTGCAGATAATACCTCCTAGGACCGCAAGGCTCATTACAAGCCCGGCGGTCCATGAGTTATTATCACCTTCCAGTAGCTCCTCAGCTCAGTAACTCTCGCAGACCCGCGTCGGACCAAGAGCGCTGCCATGGGTTACCATGGCAACACTCAGTGCGCATGCTGGCTGCGTAGAGTTACACTGGGAGTTGGAGGAGCTTGGGAGGTGAGTAAGCTGTTCCCCCACACACAGCTCAGCCAATGCCACTGGACCACCAGGGACTGCTATATCCCCCCTCCCTGGCCAGGCAACAAGCAGGGAGGGGGGCAACACAAATAAATAATAATTAAATATGAAAAAATTATAATAATTTAATAAAAAATGCCCACTCACACACACACTCCATTATATACACATACACTACACAAACACACTGTGTATATAATGCAGAGTGTGTGTGTTTTTATAGTGTGTATATAATGCACACTACACAAACACACTGCATTATATACACACACTATACAAACACACACTCTGCATTATATACACACACTACACAAACGCACTGTGTATATAATGCAGTGTGTTTGTGTAGTGTGTATATAATGCAGTGTGTTTGTGTAGTGTGTGTATATGATGCAGTGTTTGTGTAGTGTGTGTATAATGCAGTGTTTGTGTAATGTGCGTATACAATGCGGTGTGTGTGTATATAATGCAGTGTGTGTTTGCATAGTGTTTATATAATGCACACTACACAAACACACTGCATTATATAAACACACTTTACAAACACACACTCTGCATTATATAAACACACTACATTCATTATATACACACAAACACACACACTTTGCATTCAGTATTTACTACATTCACTTTACGCACACTACCCACACACTACACAAACACTCTGCTTTCATTATATACACACTACAAACTGCATCCACTACACACTAGACAAATACACACTGCATCCACTACACACTAGACAAATACACACTGCGCACACTACACAAACACACACTACATCCACTACACAAACACACACTGCATACACTACACACACTACACAAACACATACAGCTCCCCTGTCCAAACACACTGCATCCACTACACGTGGCATGTATATTTTGTGCATTTACCTTTAGAAAGTTTTTATTTTCCAAAATGGTAAATGTACAGAATATAGGCAAATTATATCAGCTATCGTCCTGAAAGTTCACAGAATATCGGTATCGGTATCGGCTCTAAAAAATCAATATCGGTCGATCCCTAGTAAGAATGTTTGTTTAATTCTTTTATACACATTTTCAGGCCAGAGGCACACCCCCTGTAAATGATGGATCACGGGGACAAAAGGGACACAAACCAATGGGAACAATAATTAACACAGTAAAACTCCCACATCAGGGCCGGACTGGCCCACCGGGATACCGGGAAATTTCCCGGTGGGCCGTCGGCTCCTGGGGCTGGGCAGACACCTGGGTCTGCTGTCGGCCGCTGGGGAGGTCTGCTGTCGGCCACTGGGGAGGTCTTCTGGCGGCTGCTGGGGGGAGCTGCGCTGGCTCTGCTCCCCGGCGCGTAGCTGAATGAGACCGGCGCCGGAATATGACGTCATATTCCGGCGCCGGTCTCATTCAGCAGCGCGCGAGGGCGGGAGAGCACAGACAGCGCAGCTCCCCCTGCGGCCGCCAGGACAAGTCCCCCAGCGGCCGCCAGAAGACCTCCCCAGCGGCCGACAGCAGACCTCCCACTGGTGTCAGGTACTAGTAATGTGTCTGTGTTATGGTGTCTGTCTCTCTGTCTGTATGTATGTATGTTGTGTGTGTGTCTGTCCGTGTCATGGTGTCTGTCTGTATGGTGTGTGTGTGTGTCTGTCTGTGTCATAGTGTCTGTCTGTATGGTGTGTGTGTCTGTCTGTCCGTGTCATAGTGTCTGTCTGTATGGTGTGTGTGTGTGTCTGTCTGTCTGTGTCATAGTGTCTGTCTGTATGGTGTGTGTGTGTGTGTGTCTGTCTGTGTCATAGTGGCTGTCTTTATGGTGTGTGTGTGTGTCTGTCTGTCTGTGTCATAGTGTCTGTCTGTATGGTGTGTGTCTGTCTGTCCGTCATGGGGTGTGTGTGTCTGTCTGTCTGTCTGTCTGTCATGGTATATGTGTGTTTCTGTGTCTGTCATGGTGTAAATGTGTGTTTTTAAAATAGTGTTTTTGCTCACCTTTTTTTTTTTTTCCCACGCAGCGTGCTGGTCTCCCCTAGACTGGCCCTGCCTCTATAGCTGAGATCATCAAGCTTGATGATCTCAGCCAATCCAACACTTTGTCATAGGATTGGCTGCAAAACGCCACTCTAATCAGCATCTCCTCATAGAGATGCATTGAATCAATGTATCTCTATGGGGAACGTTCAGCACCTACAGAGTGTGGAGGCCCTGAATGTAGGTGCACTAACACAGGAAGCACCTCTAGTGACCGTCTGAGTGACTGTCACTAGCAGTGTCACTTTGAAGCAATGTAAACACTGCCTTTTCTCTGAAAAGTCAGTGTTTACGTTGAAAAGCCTGTAGGGACATGCTATAGACACCAGTACCACCACATTAAGCTGTGTGTGTGCGTCTGCTAGTGAGTGAGCTTGCTTGCATGCGTGTGCCTGCTAGTGAGTGAGCTTGTGTTTTTATGTCAATGAGCTGATGTATATCAGTAAGATTGTTTGTCTATGAGGCTGTGTATCAATGAGCTTGTGTGTGTCATTGAGATGTCAGTGAAATTGCCTGTGTCTGCATGTGAGTATGCTTACTGTATAATTAAACGTTTTACCCTGAAAGGACCAATATTTTATATTAGAAAAAGCAATATATATATATATATATATATATACTCAATCATCTGTCCTGGCAAGACATAGCCTTACATATTACACGCGACAATATATGGTGCAGTGACTTATGGGGCTGGCACAAATTTTTTTTTTTCCAGGGCTGCTTTGTATCCCCAGTCCGGCCCTGTCCCACATACATTCAGCAAGCCCTCCCCACTGCCTGTGATATAAATAAGCTAGCTAATGGAATAACAATTATCCACAGGCAGAAAATATCAATTTTTACCCAAAAAAATGAAAACAACACAAAACAAGCCATCTCCTTCCCACCCTGGTCTAACCTCTGGATCCAAGACTGTGTGGGAAGGACCTCTCCTCTAGGAGAGTATAGCTGTATACAGCTCTTCCAAGAGCTAGCAGTGATATAGCAGTTATAGCTGTTCCCTACAACACAAGGCTGTGGGTTGAGAGTAAAGAAGGATTATTGAGCAACTTGCATTTCCTTTATAGAGTTTAGAGTTTTTAAGGAACATAAACCAATGGGAACAATAATTATTACTATAACACTCCCACATACACTCAGCAAGCCCTCCCCTCTTCCTCTGATATAATTAAGATAGCTAATGGAATAATTTAATTATCCACAGGCAGAAATTACCCATTTTTACCCAAAGTGCAGAAACACCCCAAAACTCCAACATATCCCCATAAATTATACATCCCTGATCTTGGTGAACAAAATATATAAAAATCACCCAGATCAGAGCAGGGGTTCAGAAGTTTTGTGGAAGTCACATTTGACCAACCGACCGCACGCACATTTTCATGCCCAAACCAGTTCCAGAGAATTAGGATGTGCGGCCGGTCTATTTCCATTACTAAGTTCCGTTCCGTATCCAAAGTGCCACTTCAAAAGTGCAAATCATTTCCAATAGAATTTAAAGGGCCAGAAACAGTGCCTTAATATCCAATATACCCAAACAGAGTGTTTAAAAGGCAATACACCCCAGGGGCCATAGTCACAGGGCAAGAGGCTGGCAAGCAGGTCTCTCCAAAACCCAGTGGCGAAGTGCAATTCGTCACACTCGGGAATGCTGTAGCACTACTCACACTAGGGGGGGAAGGACATCTCTGGCGGCTGTGGCCGCTGCAGTGCATGGAGTATCCACGGCAACCATAATAGATCTGGATGCTCATCGGGTATGTTTCTGTTTTTGCCATATGATGGCAATATGCCCGGCTTAGAAGCTGTACAATACTTTGCAGATTCAAACCTGTGTCCATTTGTCATTATCAATAGTACGCTAGAATACTATACTATGTGCAAAGTTGAAATCCACAATGGAACATTTATTCTAAGTTTATTCTTATATTTAGTACATATATATTTGTAAAATGTAAAAAATAAAATAAACTGTAGGAACACACATCTCTATATCCTGTAACTGGGCGCCTCCATCTTAGCTCCCTGTCAATCATTGTTATAAGCTCCGCCCATTACACCTGGCAGTCAGCATAGAGAGAGCAGACAGAGGAGAAGTGAAACTGTTTATATATCTCCACTTCATTTGCAATGTGTGCCTTCACTGAACTGGATTATGATGTCACTTGCTAAATATTTAATTAAAATTGATAAGAAAATGTAGCTTTGCATGAAATAATATTAACGTTGTAGGTGATACTCAATGTTTTATATATACACGATGTACTGCATTAAAACCTTTGAATGCTTATTGATACAATATCTGTGTGGTGTGATTCTTTAAGTATACCCAGCAGCTGGAGAGTTAAATGGAAAGTAGAAACATCTTCTCTGCGTAAGGCAATGGCAGAGTAAGGGTTCCCAGACCCTGAGATGATTTTCAGCCTAACATCATGCAATCCATGTAACCAGGAAATAGTGCAGCCAGGAAGCAGGTTTAAAGACTGCTACTGGAATCCCTGAACAAGTGAAATAGGACACACAGTTCCCAAAAGAAGTACCACACAATACTTTTTTTTGAACAAGGACTATTAATTTAGTGAATTGCCCTTCAACATCTGGGGGGAAATCATTTAATATACAAATTTACAGAGAAATGGGGAATAAGCAATTCTAATACTATATCAAATATATATTACAAGTAGTTCTTTAAAACACATTAAAGTGCATATATAGATAGATATAGTTACACTAAATTACATGTCAGCAGTATGTCAATTTGCGCATTTTCATTCAGTTAACAGGGGATGCTTACAATTTATCACAATACCAATACATAATTTGTACATTGACTGCTACTGTTACAGTTATTATTTATAGTGTTAGTATGAGAAAGGCTTGAGGTGCTGAAACGTAAGCAAACTTTGAATTACGATTTTAGAATGTCTCACATTCACAGTAAAATATATTTTATTCCCAAATTAATACATAGATTCCTCATATATTACTAGAGTTGACTATGACATTTGGAACAATCAAAACATCACACAATTTCTCTCTTGTGTGAGTTCACTGATGACTAACAAGGTGTACATGCAGACTAAAACATTTCCCACATTCAGAAAAAGAGAAAGGTTTCTCTCCTGTGTGAATTACTTGATGTATAACAAGCACTCCTTTACGGGCAAAATATTTTTAACATTCAGATTCAATATGTGCAATAACTCACACTAACCAAAAATAAACAAACATTAAAGAAAACAAAAGTTGTGCATGGAAGGCACATTTTCAAATTTAACATTAATATCAAAGGGGAGGAAAGTAAAGAGGGGCTCTGTAGAGTTAACACAATCGCAATACCAATGCATCATTTATACATTGCTACTATCACAGGTATTTTTTCTTGTGTCAGCAATAAAGCAATTCACAGTATTAGTTGTTTAATTCTGATGTTAATTCATAAACACATTATAACAACTCTACCGTGTGAGTTATCTGATGCTTAACAAACTCTGGTTTACTGACAAAACTATTTCTCCATTCTGTACATGCGAGATGTTTCTCTCCTGTGTGAGATAATTGATGTTTAACAAGCTGAGAGTACTGGCTAAAACATTTCTCACATTCAGCACATGAGAAAGGTTTCTCTCCTGTGTGAGTTCTCTGGTGTACAACTAGAGAAGAGTTACAGCTAAAACATTTCTCACATTCAGCACATGAGAAAGGTTTCTCTCCTGTGTGAGTTCTCTGGTGTACAACTAGAGCTGAGCTATTGTTGAAACATTTCCCACATTCAGCACATGAGAAAGGTTTCTCTCCTGTGTGAGTTCTCTGGTGTACAACTAGAGTAGAGTTACTGCTAAAACATTTCCCACATTCAGCACATGAGAAAGGTTTCTCTCCTGTGTGAGTTCTCTGGTGTACAACTAGAGCTGAGCTATTGCTGAAACATTTCCCACATTCAACACATGAGAAAGGTTTCTCTCCTGTGTGAGTTCTCTGGTGTACAACTAGAGTTGAGTTACAGCTAAAACATTTCCCACATTCAGCACATGAGAAAGGTTTCTCTCCTGTGTGAGTTCTCTGGTGTACAACTAGAGCTGAGTTACAGCTAAAACATTTCCCACATTCAAAACATGAGAGAGATTTCTCTCCGGTGTGAGATAATTGATGTTTAACAAGCTGAGAGTACTGGGTAAAACATTTCTCACATTCAGCACATGAAAAAGGTTTCTCTCCTGTGTGAGTTCTCTGGTGTGCTACTAGAGTTGAATGCCTCTTAAAACATTTTCCACATTCAGAACATGAGAAAGGTTTCTCTCCTGTGTGAGTTCTCTGGTGTTGAACTAGAACTGAGCTATCACTAAAACATTTCCGACATTCAGGACATGAGAAAGGTTTCTCTCCTGTGTGAATTCTTTGGTGTACAACTAGAGCTGAGCTATTGCTGAAACATTTCCCACATTCAGAACATGAGAAAGGTTTCTCTCCTGTGTGAGTTCTCTGGTGTTGAACTAGAACTGAGCGATCGCTAAAACATTTCCCACATTCAGAACATGAGAAAGGTTTCTCTCCTGTGTGAATTCTCTGGTGTGCAACTAAAGCTGAGCTATTGCTGAAACATTTGCCACATTCAGAACATGAGAAAGGTTTCTCTCCTGTGTGAGTTCTCTGGTGTACAACTAGAGCCGAGTTACAGCTAAAACATTTCCCACATTCAGAACATGCAAACGGTTTCTCACCTGTGTGAGTTCTCTGATGTATTACAATTTCTGACTGCCAGCGAAAACATTTTCCGCATACAGAACATGATAAAGGTTTCTCACCTGTGTGAGATTTCTGGTGTGCAACTAGAGCTGAGTTACAGCTAAAACATTTACCACATACAGAACATGCAAACGGTTTCTCTCCTGTGTGAGTTCTATGATGTATTACAATTTCTGACTGCCAGCGAAAACATTTTCCGCATACAGAACATGATAAAGGTTTTGTGTTCATGTTTACTATCTCCTTTGTAGACATATAAGATTCTGAGAGATTGCTTGAGGTTGGAGAGTTAGAATCCTTGGTCCTTTTATTAAAAGATGTCTTCATAATCTTGCTTAGTATATTTCTGTTGGTGTCCTGTCCTTTAGAAAAACTTCTGCTGCTGGAAATATCTGAAACAAAATGTACTGGGAGTTACAGAAAATCTGTCTATAAATGATTTATTGTTTACCATACTTTTTTCGTGAAACATCAGAAATATGACAATGAAACATTATGGCGATTAAGTAATACCTTAAAAATGAGAAAATATTTGTATGCTTCAATTCCCATTATAATCTTAAAACTGCGTATACACACTTACTTTTAAATTCTTTATTTATATTGTGCAAGTGATATCAAACAAGCCCGTGTTGCCACATCAGCAGTCACAAGCTTAATAGAATCTTACATTGTCAAACATGGCAAATAGATAGTCTGCACAGTTTTATATTATTAATAAACAGGTGTTAAACTGAGAAGGCATCAATAATAATGAGAGCAACATAAAATGAGATAACATAAGATTAAAATAACCTATGTAATGGTAGAGAAAACAAGCTATGATCAATATAGTTTTGGGTTCAACAATACGTTTCATTTCTTTCTAGGCATTATTATAACATTCCTGGGTACCCACAGGGTTGAGGAATATGTTGAGTGGGTTAACAGTTATGTTTTCAAGCTAGGACAGCAACATTAAATATTAAGGCTAGGATTATATATAGGAAACAGGTTAACAAGTTTAGTTAAAACGTTTTTAGTCTATTAATGACATTTATACTGTAGGTACCCATGGTGAGGTACGCTTGCTGTGAGTAATTTGTACGAGGTTCTGATATATGCGAACTGGTTAAAACACAATAAAGATTAATTAGTAGATTAGCTCTGGTTAAATCACTGAGGGTAACTAAATAGATGAGTAAATGTAATCTGCTGAGATTCAGTCAAGCTTAGAATTAACTTTGACATATGTATGTTAATATTGCCTGGTTTGGTACCGGCAAGCTGGGTATGGCTGTAAGTCCTGAGGGGGACATGGGTACCTCGCTCGAGGGCACACGGCACTGTCAGCCAGTGCCTCGGCTTGGCAGAGCCATATCGTCCCTGGAGGGTCCCATAGTTAAGGCTTAGGACTGATTAATTTTAGATCTAATAACAATGAGGGCATTAAGGAAACACACTTTCAGAGGAAAAGTAAAATTTAACCAGCAGGAGGCCATTTTTAACTTTGCACTTTTTAAGAGGTGTTTGACTCGCGTGTTGCACATAAACATATTAACTGCAAACAGGTTGAACATGAATGGTTACAGACTGCCTTAGGTTATCACTGATTATGGGATATCTAGACACCAGTGTCCACTGGAAGGGCTAGGTAGTTTGTCATAATTAGATATACAAGTTGAAATCATGTTTACATTATATCACCAGTATGTTGATTTTAAGCTGTTGCATCAGGATTAAGGAAACCAGTGTAGTGAGAATTGAGTGGTGATGTTTCTGGTGAGTGGGTCTCTTGTGGGAGGCTGGCAGTAGATATAGAGCGTACAATGCTCTGGAGAAGATGGGTACAGGTGTCCCAGAGCAATATAGTCCCCGTGTTGTTTCTGTACGTTGGGCCCTGTAGAGTCTGTAGTGGTCAGGAATAGGAGAAAGCTGTAGCCCTCGGTATCATGGGGTCAGCGTTAGCCGTCTGTGTTACTGTTGAGGTTGGTCGGATGGTTTGTTGGGCAGCTGTGGGGTACTGTGAATAGTCCCGGCTATTTCGTATTTATTATCTTCCCAGTGTCTGGCGTTGTGTCAGGTTCCCCGGGGACTTGTGTGGTATCTCTCCTAGGAGGTGACCGCCGCATAAGTAATCGGCGTGGAGTCTCGTGGAATGAACGGTGTGCCCAGTGACCAGGTATGGGTTGAAGGAGTATCGTTGGTTAGCTCCGCCTGGGTGAGATGTTCATGTGGCAGTCCCAGAGTCCGCAGTAAGTTCTCGAAGTCATTTAATTAATATTCTAGATTTGATCCTTGTCCTGTACGGTAATCCACTGTGGCCAGGTGCTGGCAGGCGCCTCTGCTCCACTTAGGTGGTGACCGCAGCATAGGTGACTGGTGTAGGATTTCGAGGCACAAATGGTACGCTGTTCGCCGGGTCCCAGTTGGAATTCGGAGTGAAGGGGCCCTGGAGGCCCGTTTGGAGGAGTGAGTCCCAGGTTAGGCCTAAGGCCAGTAGTAGCTCTGTTGCGTCTTGTGGGTCATGAATTTGGTAGGTGGTCTCGCCCCTTTGCACGGTTAGTATGTGAGGGGACCTCCAGCGGTACGGGATCTTTCGGTGCTGAAGTGTGGCGGTGAGGGGTCGGAGCGATCTGCGCCATGCCAAGGTTCCCCTCGACAGATCGTTATAGAAGGTGAGTGTTGCGTTCTCAAATTTCAAGGGAGTTTTACCTCGGAGAGCGTTGAGGACCATTGCCTTGTCCCTACCATTCTTAAAGGTCAGGATTGTGTCCCTTGTGGTTGCCACTGGGGCCCCAGTAGGCTTTGGGATCCTGTAAAGGTCTGTGGGTTTGATGGACGCGTGTTGACCCGGGGGGAATATGGCGGCCAAGAGGTTTTGGATCGTGTGTGGGAGATCTGCCTCTGGTGGTCCCTCCGGGATCCCCCTGACCTTAATATTGTGTCTCCTTCTCGTGTCTTCTTGGGTATCCAGGCGCCGTTCAAGTAGTGTGTGTTTGCTGTGCAGCTCTTGCACTTTGTCTTGCAGTGCGGTGATGCTGCGCTGGTGGTTTTGAGAGGAGTCTTCCAGCTCGGTAATCCGGCCTGTCAGGCCCTGCAGCTCTCCTCTCAGTGCGGATATTTTTCTGCAGGTCAGCCAGTAAGGCTTTCAGTACTCCGGTGGTGACTAGGTCTGCATCGGGGTCTGACCTTGGTTTGCCCGGTGTAGGTTTCCCTTTTGGGGCTGGTGTTTGGGGGTAGTCTTCGTCCGCTTCCTCTGAGTATTCATCAGAGAAATCCGTGCAGCCCCCGTGGAGCGCCGCCATATTGGCTTCACTCGGGCCGCATGCTTGCCTCCACATTTCTCCAATTGTGAGCCCAGGGCCTGTATTATCCGGCAATCTTTTCTTATTTTTGCGACCCATGGAGCCTGCGGGGTTCCTGCGTGGGGTCTGGTTATAGTAGGGGTAATTTTGTTTGGGATTAGGTTTGATTTCTCCGTTTGCATTACGGAGCTCCAGAATTGTGCGACCGGTTGCCTCTGCTGCTTGCTCAAAACGCTTCTACACACTTACTTTTATTAACTTGGCAAAATGTAAAATGACACAATGCCTCACGAACACCGGGAAAAATCATACTGTTGCCTGGTCAGTTCCCAGACAGGCAAGGAGAGCACTTTTCAGAGAAAAGACCCTCCCGCACAAGAGGACCATTCACTATGTATGAGCCAGAGGGAGACTTAGTTTATGTTGATACAGGAACACCACACAGTGGATTGGCCACCATCTCCTTTCCTTGGTGGCGATGCGGCTATATTACATGGATTTGAGCGATATATGCACAACTTGGGCGCTCAAAACCGGGGATATAATACTTGTGGTGGTTCCCATCAAACTTTTATGCATTTTGGGGTGTTTTGTGGTTTTGTATTGTTCCTCGAGTGCTCACTTTTCTCACAGACATAGAGGCATGTGGGCGGGCTTACTGTTAAACTGAATGGAGGACTAGGGAGACTCTTCCGTGGATATACTCTATCAAAGTATATGAAGTTACAATTACATCACATGTAACCAAGGAATCAGCTACACCCCCTTCTAACACCAAGCAGCAGGTGGCGCACAAGAAGTATCGCTATGAGCTTCTGAAGCTAGCTCACGATAGCCCCTTGGCAGGGCATTTGGACAGGAGCCGGACAGCATCTCGGCTCATCCAAAGCTTCTTCTGGGCAAGCATCTCCCAGGAAAATCTCCAAGGATCTGCGGCAGTACTGCCAGACCTGCGATGTCTTCCAGAGAGTGGGGAAGTGGGGGGACCGGCACAGGGCCCCCCTCTATCCCCTACCCATTATCAAAGAATTGTTCAGCAAAGTAGCTGTCAATATCATAGGTCCCCTAGCCAAGCCTAGTCCATTAGGGAAGAAGTACATTCTGACCATCGTGAACTACACAACTCGAGGCAGTCGCCCTGAGCAATATTCGGGCAGAGACTGTGGCTGATGCCCTGATGGGAGTGTTCTCCCGGATGGGGTTTCCTTGGGAGATTTTCTTGGACCAGGGCACCCAGTTTACTGCCTAAATGACCCACCAATTGTGTTGTGTGGCATTAAACCAATCCTGAGCTCCCCTTATCATCCCCAGACCAATGACCTGTGTGAGCGATTGAACGGTAAGGTGAAGCTAATGCTCTGTACCTTTGCGGCGACTCACAAGGATTGAGAGAAATTCCTGACCCATCTCCTGTTCGCTTATCGGGAGGTGCTGCAGGAATCGACTGGGTTCTATCCCCGTTCAAACTAATGTTTGGGCGGAGAGTGAGGGGAACCTTAGATCTAGTGCCAGAGCACTGGGAAGAGGAAGGAACCCACATCGTTCCATATGTGCAGGAGTTTTAGGGACCAGCTGGAGGAACTCACCTATCTGGTACGAGGGAAGCTCCAGACGGCCCAGAGGCACCAGTGCATGGTATGATCGGGGTTCCAGGAGCCGTAGCTTTCAGGTCGGACAGAAGGTTTTGGTGCTGAAACCCATCCGACATGACAGGCTACAGGCTGCCTGGCAGGACTCATACTGGGTAGTGGAACAGAAAGAGGACACTACCTATGTGATCGGCCCATGCTCTGCTACCGGAATGTGACGCCTGTTTCATGTGAACATGCTTAAGCCCTATCACGAGCGGACAGAGGATGTCGTCACCATTTGCGTGCCAGCCCCGGAAGATTATGGCAAAACAGATGTTCGCCAAGCAAACGACCTTCTCCAACCTGCCAGGGTATACCCCCCCTGTCCACCCATAGAGTGGAGACACCCGACCAAGAGCCTCTACGAAAGACCCCATACTGAGTGCCGGAGGCTGTGTGGGGGAGCATAATACAGGAGATTCCGGTGAGGCTCCAGCTAGGGGTCATCAAACCGTCCACGAGGACTTGGGCCTCCCCAGTATTCATAGTCCCGAAGAAAGACAGGAGGCTCAACGACAAGACGGTCTCCGATGCCTAACCAATGCACCGCATAGATGAGCTGCTTGATAGAATGGCTCAAGGCCGATACCTAACCACCATTGACCTATGCAAGGGATATTGGCAGATCCCGCTGGCAGTGAATGCTTTCCCCAAGTCCGCCTTCGTCCCCCCCTTTGGCCTGTACCAGCTTAAGGTAATGCCATTCGGGATGAAAAACGGATGGTGCAGGGAGGGGGAACAATAAAATAAAACATTAAAATATATTTTTTTAAAAGACAAATATTCAAAATAAAAAATGCCTTTCTCCCCCCATTTTACACAAATCACATCCCTTCAGAAACACACACACACACTGCATTATATACATTATATACACACACTGTATTCATTATATACACACACTATACAAACACACTGCATTGCATATATACGCACACTTCACACACACTGCATTCACTATATACACACTACACACTGCACTCACTTTACACACATTGCATTCACTTTATGCACATTACACACACTCTGCATTCATTATATACACACTACACAAACACTGCATTCATTATATACACACTACACAAACACACTCACTGCATTCATTATATACACACTACACAAACACACTCACTGCATGCATTATATACACATTACACAAACACTCACTGCATTCATTAAATACACACACTACACACACACTCTGCATTCATTATATACACACTACACAAACACTCACTGCATTTATTATATACACACACTACACACACACTCACTGCATTCATTATATACACACACTACACACACCGCTCCCCTGTCTAAACCCACTGCATCCACTACATGTGGCATGTATATTTTGTGATTTTACCTTTAGAAATAGTTTATTTTTTCAAAATGGTAAATGTACAGAATATCGGCAAGTTATCGGCTATCGGCCTGAAAGTTCACAAATTATCGGTATCGACTCTAAAAAATCAATATCGGTCGATTCTTAATACCTAGGACACCAGGTGGATTGTGGGACACAGAAGCACGAACCAGCCAAAGTGGAGGCCCTAGCTAGCTGGCCCCATCCCTTCACTAAGATCCAGGTGCTGGCTTTACTAGGGACTGCCGGCTATTATAGGAAGTTCGTTCCCAATTACAGTGCCATCGCAAAGCCCCTCACCGACCGGACCAAAAAGTCCTTGCCCGGACAGGTCCGGTGGACCCCAGAGTGTGAGCAGGCATTCCAAGCCCTTAAGGACGCCCTGACTAATAATGTCCTGGCTGCTCCTAATCCCAGAAAAGGCTTTCTTGTTCACACAGATGCCTCCATGTTTGGATCATGTCAGGGATGATGGCAGAGGACACCCCGCGGCTTACCTCAGCAGGAAGTTGCTGCCCAGGGAAGAAAGCTACGCCGCCATTGAGAAGGAGTGCCTGGCGGTGGTGTAGGCACTCGAAAAGCTACAGCCCTATCTGTATGGACAGCAATTCACCCTGCTCAGGGATCACAAACCCTTGGTCTGGCTTAACCGGATCACAGGGTACAATACCAGGCCACTCCGGTGGAGCCTAGCCCTACAACCATATGACTTTACCATTCCCTAAAGACCCGGTAAGCAGAATGGCAATGCTGACAGGTTGTGAAGACAAACAGCCCTAATTAAATGATCCGTGGGCACTTCCCCCGGACATTTCCCAGCTGATCCATCGGGATCAGGCAGTGTATGCTGGATGTGTGTAACTATATTCTTATTGTTGCTGATACACTGAGTCCCTGAGGAAGTCCAGATTTAGGACGAAACGTGTAGGACGTCCAGTGGTCACATTTGTTTTATACTTATATGTAAGTTATTAAATTTCTTTTTGTACTACATTCTGGAAGTGCACTACATTTTTTGTATATTTCTCTTTTTGAATTATATATTCCAATCCACTGATGGGAGTGTGAAGAGGAGAAAACACAGTGATTACTGGAGAAAGGATTATATTTAAAGCTGTTTTCCATCCTAAACTTTGTGAGTGGCCAATTGCAAATTTAATAGTGTTACTCACTCCCACACAGTTAAACGCTATGTTTTTCCATTCTATCTGTATTTAGCAGATCATCCCCTATTCTATTTTGTATGTAGTGTATGCCGGATGTTGGTTAATGGGGAGCTGTGTGGAGGGATCGCTACCTAACTGTGAATTGCCTTGTTTTATACAGTTGCAAGAAAAAGTATGTGAACCCTTTGGAATGATATGGATTTCTTCACAAATTGGTCATAAAATGTGATCTCATCATCATCTAAGTCACAACAATAGACAATCACAGTCTGCTTAAACTACAGGAAACGTTTAGTTGAAGTTATTGCTGCCAAAGGAGGTTCAACCAGTTATTAAATCCAAGGGTTCACATACTATTTCCACCTGCACTGTGAATGTTTACATGGTGTGTTCAATAAAAACATGGCAACATTTCATTCTTTGTGTGTTATTAGTTTAAGCAGACTGTGATTGTCTATTGTTGTGACTTAGATGATGATGAGATCACATTTTATGACCAATTTGTGCAGAAATCCATATCATTCCAAAGGGTTCACATACTTTTTCTTGCAACTGTATAGAAAAAGTGTAAGGTGTACTTACCAATAGTAAGCGAACCTCTCCCGTACAGTGCTGACCCAGAAGTGATCACAGAAGGTCACGTGACGACGTGGACGTAGTGTGTCGAGGGAATGGTTGCTAGGTAACAAGTGTACAGTGGTGAGGGCCATGAGACAAATGCACTGATAGTGCTTACCAAAGCATGGAGAATAGAGATAACCTAAAATAGAGAGGTATATTGAGGATCAAATATAAAAGACTGGACATAGGAGTGGTATACAATGGACACTAGTGTGCAAGTGATTTGTGTGACTAGATTATATGTGAATGAGATATGTATATATATATATATATATATATAAAAATATTTGAAACCAAGATGGCTGCACTCACATTAACATGCATACATCACAAGATCAATCACAACAGTCTGCCACATAATCATGTCCCCCCTCTCCTCCTCTCTCTCTCCATGTCCCCCCCTTTAATTCTCTCTCTCCATGTTCCCCATCTCCTCCTCTCTCTCTTTCCATATTCCCCCTCTCCTCCTCTCTCTC